GCCGCCGCCGCCGGTCTTCAGCGAGGACGCGACGATGCCCTGCGGCAAGTTGTCCTCCACCGAAGAGTGCAACAAGTTCTGCGAACAGGCGGACTCTTGGTCCGGCGCCGAGGACCAGGATATGGTGGAGTTGGTGCATCGAAGATCGCTTGTGAAACCGTCCGACGACTTCAAACGATCCGGAATGGCGTTCTTGTAGCGTAACGTGTACTTCTTCTCCGACGAGGTCTTCGTCGAGTGAACGTCGCCGCCGGGCAACATGCCACTGTCGAAACCAACGGCGGCGTGCAGCGACGAGGACTGCTGTTTCATTTGAACGTCGGTAGGCGACAGACCGTTCAACACGTGTCGATTCACTCTCTCGAACATGGTGTCGGAGTGGGTGCTTGTGACGGAGCGCATCGAGTCTCGACTCTCGCTTCTGGCCACTCCGTTGCACTTCACGTTCGACCCGCCAGGCTGATGATTGTGCAGCTGATGATAAGAGCGTAAAGTACGCGTCGCGTTGATCCCTAAGAAGCTGTGCTCCACCTTGAACGAGAACTTGTCGTCCTTGTTGGTCGGCGAGGTGCTGGGCTCGATGTTGTCGCACGTTTCCGCCAAGTTTTGATCGATTTCTTGCTCGAGGGCTCTCTGCCGGCGGGCGACCAAAGTCGGTAGCGTCGGAAGGCCGAGGCCGCGTGCCGTCGAATCCAGCTGGACGAGATTGTTACAGCCTGGCCTGGCGCTCAGTAAATTCTTCAACGCCGCGCTCGAACCCATCGAGATCATTTTGTGCTTGGAGTGAATTAAACTGCGAAGCATTGGAACGGCACCCAGGTCCCACAGCAAGCGTTGATCTTGCGGACACCGGGCAGAGAGATTCCACAGAGCACCGCAAGCGTTGCTCACAACGGTTAAACTAGGCGATCGCAGTTGCTGCAGCAACACTTGCAAACATCCCCTCTCTCTCACGATGGCTCGATAATCCTCCCTGACGGCAATGTGGCTGGACACGTTTCTCAATATGCCGCCGGCGTTCTCTACGATGGCCAAGGTTTTAGACGGCGCCTTGTAGCTCAACATGTCCACGAGGAACGCCAGCGCACCGTCTACGGCGCAAATGTCTACTTTGTTGGTGCTGCAGTGCGCCGACAAGTTCCAAAGCGCCGAGAGTATCGACTTGAGCGTTGATTCTTTCCTGCCCTCCATCGCGGCCTTCATCAAACCGGTCACCGCCCCTACCTCCCTCAAGGTCTGCTTGCTGCTAGTGTCAGCCCGCCACGACAGATTCCTCAGCACAGACGCCGTCACCTGTCTGAGATCGTCGCTCGGGCTCCTCAACTGCGAGACCAGGGCCTTCATGAACTCCCGGAAGGAGCAGAGCAACGCTTTGTTGTTCCCATCGCCGAACGTCAGGTTCGTCAAGGCCATGCCGGCATACCTGCGCAACGTGATGCAGTTCTGATCGTCGCACTCGCTTCCGTGGGCCATGTGATCCATCTCGATCAGCTCGGCGACCGCGTGAAGCCCGCCAAGTTGACACATGGCGTGACGATGAGCCTCGTCGAACGAAAGCTTCATCAACGCGGCTATCGTCGGGCCGGGATGCCTTTCCAAATCGTCGGGCACTTGCCCCGTTTCCAGAGACGTCCTCAGAGCTTGACAGTAGTCCCGCAACTGCTCGAGGAACCGGAGAACCCTCGCCTCTCGACGTCCAGCCCTCTCGTCGCTCTTCGCGTACACTATATTGTGCAATGCACGGGATGCTTTCTCCCTCGTTTCCGGATCCTGTCCCGGTGCGTGGATCAGCTGCACCAACAGCGGCAAGCATCCCGACTGCCTCATTATCAGGCAGTTGTCTATCGAACTGCTCATCGACAGCAGCGTCGCGCTCATGTCCTCACGGCCTTCTGTGCTACCCAGCATCCCCAACAGATTGTACACCACGTCTACCTTCGCTCCCAGCCTTCGATCGCCTTGCATTTCCGTGGAACAGCCGAGAGCCCCGCCCGAATTCGAGGAGAAGCTCATCACGCTGGCTACGTCCTGCGAAAAAAAGGCTTAGTTAGTGTCGTTCGATCAACAAA